AAAATGTTATTCACCCCTATTCTGCATTTCGATTACGTTTACGCATTCAGTTACGCAACGGTCGAAAAAAGTTATTCCAACAAAAAACTGAATCTTAAGAAAAAAAGAAGCATTTCCATTTCTTTTCAATGTTTTACGATTGCATGCATTCTGCTACGTTTTTGTAAATTGTTGTTTATATGGCGGAGAGTCGATTCGAAATGCAGAATACCAAAGTTGCCAAACGAAGAAATTCGATTCGAATTGAAATGCAGAATAGGGGTGTTTATATTTATACGTTTAAATTTCACATGGGTATAATAAATATACTTAAATTCAATAATAGAAGTAATAATTAATATTTTAATATTGTAGATTCAGCATCTGATAATGAGAGTGATGATGATGAAGACGACGAACCCCTTGTCAAACGAGGTCGACCTGGGCGTCCTCCATCTCAGCGGAATTCTTTGGCCAATGGCAGCGTATCGTCCACACAAGAAAATGTTAAATCTAATAGTCGGCGATCAATACGTCGTACAGCAGATAATTTGCCGTTGAATAGTCCGGCTCTTTATGAACTTTTGGAGAAAATTATGAAAAATGAACACGCATGGCCCTTCCTTAGGCCAGTTTCTCAGTCGGAGGTACCCGATTACTACGATATCATTAAAAATCCTATGGATTTCGCAAAAGTAAAATCCAAACTTAATATGGGCTCGTATCAGATAAATGAGGAAGTTATGCGTGATATCGAACTCGTATTTAGTAATTGCGATGATTACAACGTAAAGGGCAATGAGATTTACCAGTAAGTTTGATCAAATGACTTTATTTTTTATGTAAAAAACTCATTGTTTGCTTTCTTTAAATAGAGCTGGTTCTGCATTGGAAAGACATGTCATCGACTGGTGCAAGGAACTTAATTTACCATTTAAGCCTAGTGACATGAACACAGAGGAATAGATAATTAATTTTATTATAGAAAAGAAAAACAAATTCTAAGCGATTGTATTATATTTCATTAGATTTTTTTTGTCCATTTTACAAAAATTATTACATTTTCTTTTTAATCTTATGAAATTTTGTCTTCGATATTTATTTTATATTTAGAAATATTTAAATACCATGTTTTTCTCTGTTGCCTAAATTTCTATATTTTGATTATATATACACATATTTACCTGTTAAATGAATCCTTCGTTATAATTTAACTGATTATCCATGTTATGAGCAAAACAAACACACTGATTCTATCGTTATTTATTTAAAAAATTCCGGTTAGAGTGTTAATAAATTTAAAACTCATTTATAAAATTCATTTCTTTTCTATTTGTATCTTAAGTATAAGAGCTTGGAACAACACTTTTGTTTAGAAATTAAATTCTAGTTTTAAGACTAAAAAACAAAAATTTAATTAAGATTCTCACCAATTAATTAGAAAGAAGCCTATTAAAATGCAGAACGAAAACAACACACAACATTTATTAATAATTTTCGGTTTAAAATAATTGAAATAAAATTTGCATTATTAAGATAAAAACAAAAATATCAAGTATTTTATTAAAGTAAAAATGTCTTGAAAAGATATTAGACCAATTTCATTTATTATGAGCCTAAGAATGAAATTATTAGTATTTATACTATTGCAGGATTATAAATTAAACTCGAATTTTTCAATATTTGCTGCAGTTTTAAACGTTACGTAAACGTAAAGGAATTCAAAAAATATCTTTGATGATTTTCAAATGCAATTTTCATTTATTAAATTAAATATTTAAATGTTTACATTGCTGAATTATTAAGAGAAATAATACATTAATTAATAATTATTATAATATATTGTATATTTTTGAAATATTCACAGAAAATAAATGATGTTTTTTCAAAAAGCTGATATTTCCTTCAATTATTGTTATATGTTTAATTGTGAGAGAATATGTGCAGCAGTCCTGTCTTATTCGGCATTAAATGGACAACCAAGTGACAACTGCTGGTTGGAAATTAATTACTTACATACATATAATCATATACTGTTGAATGTAATAAATAGTATTTTTATTATTTTAGTGGCATTAGTGAGAGTGAGTGTAGGTAAGTCTTGTATAATTTCCGTATCTCCTATTTATTTATCGTATGTATATGTATGTCAATTATATATGTATGTGGTGGCATGATGGTAATTTGAAGTATGTATGGAATTAAAAAAATATAAAATAATGCTAAGATAAAATATGACGATGTAGAGGCTAGATTTAGAGAAAGTTAATGATGGTAAAATTTAATCACTTTCGGTATCATCAAAAAATTGTTTTCTATAATTACGACGGACACGGGCAACTTTTTGTTGAAATTGATTTAAATTCGTTTTACGATTATTGATAACGACAACGCCTTCGTCATCATCGCATTCGCGTTCATCTACGCTTTTGTTAACATCACAGTCGTTGTGTTCGTAACAGGGTGAAAGGTAGGTGCCAATTCTCGTTGTAGTTGTGGAGGTGGAAGCCTGAATATCGTTGTGATCTATTGTACTAGGAGTAGTAGAGTTGTTTAAGCTGACACCGCTGTCGGGCGTAAACAGATAGGAATTGTTGTTGTTGTATTGTTGGGATGAAGTTAATGCATATTCATAATTTGCCATATTATTGTGTTCTATGTTATTTAAATTGGGCCTTTGGGGCGTTAATTGTCCACTATTGATATTGATGTTGCCATCCTGAATTGCATATATATCATTATTATTCATTTCATTATTATTAAACTCAACGTCATCTTCTTCTAGTCGCTCCTCAAGATTTCCATTTGTAAAATCACTGCGCACTTTGATGTAATCATTTATAGACATTTTACGCCTTTTCACCGGAGATTGAACTGCTTGACTTTTTGAGGTTTTCGGCAAATTATCTCTTAGTGAGAAAGATGAGTTCGAGGTGGAAGTGGATGCTGTGTTCTCTTCAAACAAATCATTTCGACTTGTAGTTGGATAGTCACCTAGAACATCTGTGTCGACACAACGTCTTTTCTTATGACTTTTACTAGAATTACTGCAGTTTCCAAGATCAGTATCCGGCAATGGAGACATTCGATGGTTACCATTTACTTTCTTACTCCCACTATGGCCTTTAAATCTGTTGTGATCAACATCATCGTAGTCATTGTTAATATTATTTGAAGGACTTTCATTATTTGTAGGATGATTTCTTTGAGGTAGTACTGTTTCATTTGTATTAATCACGTTTATAGCTGCAGAGTTTCTAGGCCGTTGATTAGATCTTAAGGATCTCGATGAGTTTGTGCGAGATTCTTTAGTAGTGGTGGTGTTATTTTTCGAATTTGTCGACTTGTTGACGCCATTGGGTTTCTTCTCCTCCACCGCTTCATTTGTGGTATTTGAATTATTATTTTGCTTGTTGACGTCGCCATCAAGATCGTCGTCATCCTCTGAATCTGACATGAATATCTGACGGCTGAGACGTAGGAAAGCATCTGTAAAATAAAAAGTGTATTTAAAAACATTTAAAGTTAAAATATAATTTTTCTAAATTTTAAATAATCTTTAGGTCGAATTTAATTTAAAACTTCCATTTTATTTTTTATGAAATAATGCATGTGCATATAAAATGTGTCTTTATTAGACAAAATTGTGGAACTTCGTATGGATATTTAAATAATTTGTTTATATAATACATTCTTATGTATATTATATTAGTTCTAATACAGAGGCCACCTAATGATTTATTTCAGTGAGTATGTAATTCATTTACACCACAGATATAACATTTTCACTACACCTACAATAAGTATTAGCACTTATAACTATATAATTAAATAGCTTGTATCTAGATCTATGTTTTTAGCAGAATTTACATGTTAAAGTACTTTACATACAAATACTATTTACAGTGAGGCGTAAAAATGTAGAAACAAGTTTGAGTGGGTGTTGATCAACATTCCTTAAATTATGGTAAATGCCTCTTAGATAAAATAATCTAAAGATGATACTCCGAATAAGCTCTGAAGCCATTTTTTCAAATTATTTTGATTAGACAATTAGTTTTGTAAATATCAATGATTAAAAAAATTTTCGATTTTGGTGGGTTCAACCTTTAGAATTCGACTTTTTCAAATCAGCTAAATAATATTTTTCAGATGTTGTTTTGAATATTTTTTATATCTTTCGTTCTTTGAAAGGATTCAGAATCGGATACAGATGGTGACTATTTGTATATTTTTGCTTCATACTGTATATGTAAATATGAACGTTACATATCGTCACCATATTTTAGATCTGATCTACCGACAATTGAAAAATGAGTTATGGATGTAATGTGTGTATTTTAGATTCGAACCCCGTTTCTCGATATTGCGTAACGTTTTTGAGATAATCATGCTTTTGAACGAAGAAATCAAAAGTTATTAAAATAAATAATGGTAAAAATTTAAACAAAATTGTAATGGTATGTTTTGAGAAAACTTTGTGTAAACCTTCTTTATCGGTTTTCTCAATATCTAGTTTTTGACATATGGATCAAAATAATAATATGCTGACGATATGCATGTACCTATGTTTGTAAAAATGAATATAAATAGGCCACACACTTAGTATTTATAGTTCTTATATTAAAATGTATTTCTAAGTAGGAAGTTTTCATTTCCATATCCCAAAATAGAACAAAATTATTAAATTAATATCTTATTAAACAATGTTAACAATTATAATTAATTTGTTATTTATTACGAATACAAGTGGGGTTTTGCATAAACACATATTTTTGAAACCATCGAAGACTTCCAAAGAAATTTCTTTGGAGCTTATTGCGAAATGGTTAGAGAAACCCATAAGCAATATACCACATAACTTTCAAATGAAAATTAGCTTAGAAACTATTATTGATGATATGGATAATCAATACATACACTGGTTCTTACACCATTCTAAACTTCCACTTACTATAAGCACTTATTTAGCCGGGACACCTCAAAGCTATACCAGTTATAATCATGATAATTATGTAATAATGAGTGATGTTAATCAACTGCAAATGACTGCCAAACGATTTGCACAAACAGCTGGAGCTTACTTTTTCGTAATTAATGGTGGCTATATGAGTATGCATATGAAGAAAATACGCGAGACACTACATTTTATGTGGAGCAAATTTTTAATTTACAATATTTATCTCCTAACGGAGGAAGGTGTTTTTACTTATGACCCTTTTGCCATAAGTGTTGCGGGTAAAAAATATGGAAAAGTCATTAAATACTTAGGCATCTATTCTATGGAACAAATTTTGTTTCATAACATGCGTGGCTACCCATTGAGAGTGCAGATGTTTAAATCGACATATTCGCATCCCATAATCGATGGACAAACCAATAGTATAAAAGGATTTAAAGGAGTAGACGGCAGAGTAGCATCTCTGTTGCAGCAATATTTAAATTTTACTTTGATTTTACAAGAACCTGATCCGAACTATTTTGGGTAATATTGCTTAGTGTAAAAAGTTTAATTGTTCAGAGTTTACTTATGGCTTTTATTTCAGATCACGTTTGTCTAACGGTAGTTTTAATGGCGCAATTGGTTCTGCCATTAATAAACAACTGGATATTTGTTTTACTGGTTTCTTTATAAAGGATTATTTAACAACTGGAATTGCATTTTCCGTTGCCGTATACGATGACAAATTGTGCATCTATACTCAAAAGGCTAAACAAATTTCGAATTCAGTTTCGCCTCTTTTTTCGTTAAACTATAAAGTATGGATATGTTTCATACTGACGGCATTTGTTTGTTCCGTAATATGGTTTATTTTGCGAACTTTAAATATATGGCTAAAAATCACACCCGACAGCTCAAGTGGGCGATGTAAGATAAGTGTCAGTTGCCATTATATGGACCTCTTAATAAACACCTGGATGGCATGGATTCGTCATACACTTTTAAAATATCCCCCCTTCGCCAATGAGCGTATGTTAGTTGCCTCCATATGTTTGTGTAGCATTGGATGAAAGCGACTTGAAAATACTTTTCAAGCATCGATTGATTGCTGATGACTTGTTTTTTAGTGAAACATCGTTGTTATTTAGTAATTTAAATCGCAAGCTAGTTTATCATAATTCACCCAATATTTTAAAGAATGTTGTTGAAAATGGCAATGTAGCAGGTGTCAGTCGATATAAAAATCTAATGATGGACAATTATGATTTGATAGTATCTAAACATCTTTGGGTTATCCCGGAATGTCCAAAACAATATACTCTATCGTATATTTGGCCTACGGGCGCACCGTGGGGCAATGCAATTAATAATCTATTGTTGCGTTTTCTATGTTCTGGACTTATACACAAATTTGAGGATGAGATGAAGAACGAGGTTCATATTAAAATAATGAAGGAACACCTGTTTGAAAATAATCTACAGTTTAAAGTTTTAACTCTGTCAGACCTTCAGTTGGCATTTTATGTTTTAATTTCCGGCAACTTCGTTGCAGTGATGTGTTTTTTAGGCGAGATTGTTAAAAGGGAATTTAAAAGAAAGTAAACATGCAAATTTAAGATTACAAAGGACCTTATATATCTATGATAATATTTTTCCAAATAAAAATAAAAGTAGACTTTTATAAACAAATTGTAATATCCCAGCAAAAAAATTTTGAAGCTATTCAAGAAGAAGGGATACTTTCACGATTTCTTTTGTACGTATTCAATATAATGCGTTTTAATTACATTCCTATATTCTAATAAATTTGTCATAAGTGAACGCATGAAAAATTGCATCCAATTCACTCATGTAACTGTAATATAGGAATTGTAATATTTCACTGTAATTTGGTATTCTCTTAGGATTTAAAGGAAACGTGAATTTTAAACCAATTAATATTAAAAATAACATTAATTCTATTAGATTTTTGTATATAATATTTGTTAAAATTAGTAATATCAAGTTCATTTTTAAATCTTAATACGAAAAGGAAAAAAACAAGTTGACTGACTATTTAACGGATTTGAAAATATAATGGGTATTTTAATGCATTTTAAAATCAGTCATTAATGTTTTATTTTGTTATCATACATAATTTTTATCAATATCACAATAAAAAATTAATTTAAATCATAAAAATTAATTCATAGTACCTTCAATAATGCATTTTAAAATAAATATAGTGCACCAATGAAAATTCGCATCAAAAACATCGAATGTTCATTGGTTATAAGCACTCATTTTAATGACGAATTATTTTTCCAAATACGAACCCATGCTCGCCAATGACACGCTAATGTTAAAATCATGCATGTTTCACCTAAAAATGAACCAATTCATTATCAGTTAAACCCATGCATTTACTACTTTTTTTGCACGTCTTTTTTTGCTGGGATTAATATTCAGAAATTACAAAGAAATTAGTCCAAAATTTTATTAGTTGTTTTTTTTATTTCAATGTAGTAAAGAAGCATTTATATGTAAATATGTAAATTTTAAGATGGATAACAAGAATCGATTTTGCTAACCATACAGTGTGAGAAAAAAATATCGAGTAAAATCGATATTTTTTGGACACCTCTAATGTATATACAGCACAATTATGACATCGATGGTAAAAAATTACATTTTTTGTTTATTGAAATAACAAATAATGGTTATTTTCTCACATTTGTACATACATACATACATATATTTGGACACTACATATTGTTTAATTGAACCCTTAATAATGTGTCAATTGAATATGTGTAATATAAACTGTAATTACACATGGGACATGTATGAATAACATAAATTGATTTGAATTCAATTTTTTGTTGAAATACACCTGCGAAAATTAATAGGACGTTTACGAATTGAAATTCATGTTGCAATGCATATTTGTAAAAATATTATTATTTATATATTTATATTTATAAATTAATTGTATTCCAATTCAATTTAAGAAAATATTAATTATATTTCAGACAATTTTTTTTTGAATTTCAGAAATTTAAACTTGTCAAAACACTCAAAAGTTTATTTTACTTTTTTGATCACGTTTAATGGTCGTATGCGAAATTACGGTTATCCACAAAAAAACTGTAATTTTTAAAAATAGTTTTATCGCACATTTCACATAAAATTTTGTTTAATTTACATTAACTGGAAAAAATATTTTTTCTAATTATTGGAATTTTATTTTTGTTGTTTAATTTTAATTTTAATTAATTAATTCAAACAAATTTAAAATTGCATTTTTTATAAAACTCTGAATGTTGGGAATGCACTAACACATATACATGTTTGTTACTAACACATATTTAGAATAAGGTACTTTTTCACTAACGTACGCTTAGAGTTAGATATTGCTGTCAAAGAGTCGGACTACTTATTATATTTTGTTTAGAACTATCTTATTGTATACCAGAAATTGTCATGTGTATTTCAAAATTATTAATTTGTATTTAAGAAATTGATATGTATTTTAAACAAAGACTTCTTCTCAGTGTAATACAACAAACAGTGATATTAAAAAAATAAAAACTTAGTTATGTGATTTGGCAAAAATTATAATGTGTAAAATGCTGTCAACATAAGTAAACATCTTTAGTTAACTGCTCCTTCTCATGGGACATTTGGACGGTTATTGATAAAATAAAACTAATGCAAAAATCTTATAAAAGGTAACAAATGAATCTCTAATACTTTAGTCAGAAATTGAATTTAGGATTTTCCATACGCAAAATATGTTTCTGAAATTAGTGTTACTTATATATTCAATTCACTATTGCAAAGCTCTTAAAACGTATACGAATTTATCGTCGATAACAACAAGTAAGCAAATATCAATGGATACAATTGAAAGTTGGTTGAGAAAACCATTGCTTAATGTTAAACATCTACATTTAAAACTACGGTTCAATAATTTTCATCAAGATGTTGAAAATTCATATACGCAATGGTTTCTGCAACAAACACTTGTTCCCATTACAATCTGCAAATATGAGTTGATCAAAAATAAAACGAATACAATGACTACCGATCATAGTCGACATAATTACGTTATAACAACTAGTATGAGTGATTTGCGTTTAACAGCACGCCAGTTCGGAAAAAGGGCTGGCATCTTCTTTTTTATTGTCAATGGGGTTATAGATTTTAAGGAACTACACAACATTTTCTACTTGGGTTGGAAACGCTTGTACATATTTAAGAATTTTGTTCTAACAGATAAAGGAGTTTTAATGTATGATCCTTTCGCTTTGGACAAATATGGAAACTATGGAAAAATAATTAAATATACTGGTAAAGCTACTATTGAACGTACTATATTTTATAACATGAGAGGTTATCCGTTACGAGTACAACTTTTTAAATCGGTATATTCAAAGCCCAAAGTAGATCCTATAACAAATAAAGTCGAAAGTGTTTATGGAGTTGATGGTAGAGTTGCAAATTTGCTGCAGAAACATATGAACTTTACCATGGATTTACAAAGCCCAGATAGAAATTATTTCGGGTAAGATATGTAAACATGAAACATAGATAATTTTATATACATACATATCACTCACTTACTACAAGGCTGATATAATCTAAATTCGGGGGTTTTAAGTGAGTACTTAAAAATATGCATAATGCTAGTTTTATTTGTATTTAAAAATTTTCCTATTTTGCGATGTGAGAATGATTCAAAAACTCAAATGTTTACGCTTTTTTGAAGAGTAAACATTTATCAAGCTTTACTTTTCAAACCCCTCGAATTGTTTAAAAATTGTTTGACATTTTTAACGTTTTATACGATATTTTGGATTATGTTAGTATTGTATTAAAAGAGCTAGCTTGTAGGGAGTTTCACTTTTGGTTTACGTCAAAAAATGACCGATTAAGAAATTTTAATAAATTCGTACTTTTTTTCAACTAATTCTATAAGCAATTTAAGATCTATATTTTAACATTTTCCAGACAACGCAGTCCAAATGGTACTTATAATGGTGTTATCGGGTCAATAGTCAACAACGAATTGGACTTATGCGTGACAGGATTTTTTGTTAAGGATTACATGGTACCAGAAATGGATTTCTCCGTAGCAGTTTATGATGATCAACTTTGTATTTATACACCAAAAGCCAAAAAAATACCTGAATCCATTTTGCCAATATTTGCAGTTCGATACGATCTTTGGATCGGTTTCATTTTTATGGCATTTGTATGTTCCTTTTTTTGGGCTTTGCTAAGAGTGTTTAATTTGCATCTAAATACAATTCAAATACGGGGAAGCCGCTTACGGAAAAGTTTTCGTTGGCAATGTGTACGAATACTTATTGATACGTGGGTAGTATGGGTGAGAGTGAATATAACACAATATCCTCCATTTAATTCAGAGCGAGTGTTTATCGCTTCCCTGTGCTTGATAAGTGTAATATTTGGAGCCATATTTGAATCAAGCTTAGCTACTGTTTACATACATCCGATATATTACAATGATATACATACCCTTCAGGAATTGGATGATAGTGGTCTTAATGTAGTGTACAAATATTCTTCGATGGGTGACGACTTGTTTTTCAGTGAAACTTCTCCGCTGTTTGCAAGTTTAAATAAAAAATTACGCTTTATAAACGATCTGTATACAGACATTGTTGAGGATGTTGCAATTAATGGTGGCAAAGCAGGTGTCACAAGATATACAACCCTAATGATGCAGTCTTTACACTTTATTGTGTCAAAACAATTATGGATTGTACCAGAATGCCCTAAATATTATGCCATATCGTATGTTTGGCCTAAAGATGCACCTTGGGATGAAACCATAAATCGCTTATTATTACGAATACAAAATGCTGGTCTAATCAATAAATTTATTGCAGAAATGCAAACCGATGTCGATATAAAAATTATGAAGGATCATCTGTATGAAAAACACCAAGGATATAAAGTTTTAACTATAGAGGATTTACAACTTGCATTTTATGTTGTCTTAACTGGCTCCTTAATGGCCCTAATATCATTACTAATTGAAAAACTTCTAGCACCTCGCAAACACAAATAAATACATTTCACTATTATACATTTACGAAATCAAAAATACATACTTACTCATACATAGATTGTTTAAGTATATTCCCGAAGGCGTATTCGAGCAAATAATGCTCTCGTGATTTACTTAAGACATACACACATATGTACAAATATACTAAACAAATTTATATTCCCGAATACAAACAAATTGTATTTGCATTAAGGAAAATGATAAAATCTTGGGCATGAAAACAAAACAGTAGTATATAGGCAGTAACAATTTACATACATATTTACATACATATGTATATGTTTTTATCAATGAAATATTTTTCAATATTTATAGGGTTCTTTAGCTTTAGATGTAATTTTAATTCAATTAAAGCACTTTACATATCGTCACCTGAAATGCAAAAAGGCGTAACGACCAAAAATTTTAAAATCGACTTTTTGATTGAAAATGGTTCACTGCATCAACATATTGCTGCAAATTTTTTAGAATCCTATTGTCAAAAATACCGACTTTATTGAAGTGAAATTCAAGAGGGCGTAACAACAAATTAGTCATTTCCACAAGTCTGAAAGTCCTAAAAAGCAACATAATAGGCAATGTCTGACTATAAAGTTATATTCAAACGATCGATTTTGGAATACAATACTTGTAAAAAAATTTCGTTTTTTATAACAAAAATAGCTTTCAGTTTATTTAGTTTTTTGTCTCTCCTGTAAAATTTTTAAAAGTGTTGTTACGCCCTTTTGCATTTCAGGTGACGGTATGTATGTATGTAAGAATATGTAAAATTTGAAGTAAAATAACTTTACTTTTTTTCTTGCCTAAATCAGCTGAATAATTTTCTCCCAATCGAACTTTTGTTAAAATTTCAAAATTAGAAGTTAAATTACTTTACTTTTTTCTTGTCTAGAGTAACACGTTGAATAACATTTGTGAATATATTAAATACAAAATAACATTTATTTTTGCAACCACTCTGTATACATACGGCCGCATAATATCATTCAACTAAGAAAATAGGCGAAAATGTCCCAACCTTTCGTTATTTGTATATCCACCTGTTATGCGAATAATTATTAATATTTTTGATTTTTCGTAAGAATGTGTTGTTTACTTAACTTATAAGTGGGAACAGGAATTCTAAATGAACTTACTTGACTGACAGTTTAGCTGATAGTAAATATGTATTTCTTTTTAACCGCACTTCCATGAAAATAGATTTAACTGTTAACGCAAATAAATTATAAAACTCGGAACAAGATTTTGGAGAGTTTAATGTCATTTGAATAAGGAATAAGACATCATTAACTAACGGAATGAATTTAGCATTGAGGAAATTTGAAGTGATGCTGATGTTAATAATTACAATAAAGACGTGTGTCATGAAAGGTGAACATTTTCACAAAAATATCAAATCTCTGAATGTAATACGTGAGCATGCCCAACATTTGGAATGCATTCGGGTGCATAACAACATGGACACGTACGTCTTTAATCTGGTGTTTAATATGGGCATTCCATTATCAATAACACACGGATGGAATAATTACAGAAAGCATGTGCAAACATCTTTATGCCCACATTTAATAATACAAATAAAATCTACTGTGGAACTGAAACCAGTGCTCGATAACTGTGCTACTCATAGGGGTATTATGTTTATCCTTCTTAACCAAAATATAGATTGGTACAAAATATCAACATATGGCGAATACTATTGGAAGACTCAAAAAATTTACAGAGTGTTTTACATAACCACCGATCATTCAAAGTTTTATCATCCTTTCATTAGATGGAATAACACGTACGGTGCTATAGTAGACACCAGAGATCATAATATCAAGGATATACTGCGTAATCTTCATGGCTATCCAATGCGTGTATATATATTCGATTCAGTATTCTCCGAAGTGAAAGCGAAACGTGATACTTTCAATGTCACTGGTGCGGAAGGAGTAGACGCCAAAGTGGCGTATTTATTGGAAAAACTATTTAATTTTAATATGCAACTGCAATGGCCAGATGATGATTTCTTTGGGTAAGTTGCAGCAAACCAAAAATGAATCCAAACATTTACACGATTTCTTACAGGGCACGTTTAGAAAATGGTTCATTTAATGGCGCGTTAGGTCGTATGATACGTAATGAAACCGATATAACGATGGCTGGGTTTTTCGTCAAAGACTACCTTACACGAGATGTACATTTTTCGGTTCCAGTCTATATGGATAAACTATGTTGTTATGTTATAAAATCAAAACGTATACCCCAATCAATTTTACCACTTTATGCCGTTGATGAAAGTATTTGGCTTGTTTATCTATCGGTGGGATTATTTTCATCTTTTGTATGGATGTTTCTTAGACGTCTAAATCTCTGTATTGGTAAAAGTGTAAAAAAACGAGGACATTTTAAAACACCCTACAGCTCCTCGTCATTACGTCTTCAATATTTAAATATCTTCAAAGACACTTGGATATTGTGGGTACGAATGATAATAGTTCGTTTTCCACCCTATAATGCCGAACGTATATTTGCAATTTCTTTGTGTTTGGTGAGTGTTATTATAGGAGCTCTTTTGGAGTCAAGTTTGGCTACAGTTTATATACGCCCACGTTATTACAAAGATATCAATTCACTTGAAGATCTTGAAAAAGCAAATTTAAAAATCTTCATCAAACATGCAGCTATGCGTGATGATTTATTTAGAGGGCAAAATTCTAGATTATACAACAGTTTGGATGAACGAGTAATGTTAGTTGGCGAGCCGGAAGAACGTTTGATAAGTATTATGTCGAAGCGTGGGGGATTTGTTGCAGTTACTCGAGAGTTTTCTTTACTTATTGCGGATATTTATTACTTTATAACGAAGAAAATACACATAATACCCGAGTGCCCAAAGACATATCATATCGCGTACTTATTCTCAAAAGATTCACCTTATGAGGAAACATTTAACGTGGCCTTATTGCAGTTTTTAGCCGCAGGCCTAATTCAGCAATGGATTGATGAGAGCAGACATGAAGCCTTATGCCAAATACATAACTTTGACGACTATATAGCCGAAAGTACTTACCAATGGAAAGCTTTTCAAATTAATGATCTACAATTAGCATTTTATGCTCTAATATTAGGAAATGTTTGTGCTGCTTTATTGTTTCTAGTTGAATGTATTGTACATAAGAAACTATTTAGAAAAATAAAATTATTTTGTCACTAAATATGTATCTATTTTTTTCACCTATTTTCTACGGATAAAATATTCAATGTTTTTTTACATTAGCACCGAACATTCATACTTTTATCATCCCTTTATTACATATAATATTACATATGGAAGACACCAGAGATCATAATATCAAGGATAATCTTCATGACCATCCAATGTGTGATTACATATTCGATTCAGAATTTTTTGAAATGTTCACATCGCACTGATTACCATTGTTTATATATTTGGCCTATTTTTGCCTTAGGACCATTATTTATAAGGTCGTCATTCCGTTTGTAATTTTTCAATATAATTTTATGGCCCTACAAAGTATGTATGTATATACATTAGACCGACTCACTCTGTATGGAAAGCAAAAACGTGTTTTTGTTACCCCTCTCAAAATTTACCTTGGTTTGTTTTATCATGATCCCCAAAATATTTTAAGCCTAGCGATGGCCGTTCGTGAGCTGGACCAAATTAAAAAAATGTATTTTTAAGTATTATTTTTTTTAGTTTTGTTTTGAAACAATATACCCAACATGGGGTATCGTTTAAAAGGGGGTTCAAACCTGCGTCCAACGATGTATAAATGATGTATAGATAAAAAATATTTTGGGAACCATCATAAAACAAAACAAAGATTTTTTGAAGCGGGGCAAAATATTGAATTGAGCATGAAAAATCGTGTCCCCAATAGGATATTTTATTGAAAACTGTCAAGCTCACGAACGGACAACACTAAACACAAAATATTTTGGGTAACTTCATATTACATAACAGCCAATATTTTGAGGGGGGTAACTCAAGCACCATTTTTGTGAGTCGGTCTAATATACATACAATATTCTAAATCATTATAGATAGCGGATCGATTAAGCTATATCCGTCTGTCTGATAAAATCAATTACATACATCCAATTATTCAAGAACCCTACAACATGGTTTTGAGAAGTTTCCCATTTAAAATCAGCAAAAGCGGTGAAAAAACGAGATATGAACAAAATTCCGAAATAACCCATGAATAGAAAGATCTCTGAAATATCTTTCTTTTGATATGTGTAAAAACATACATATTATGTATGTATATGAAAAAATAGGAAAATCGATTTTTTTTTTTTAAATTTTAATATCTCCAATTATTGTAGATTTTTGGGGATATGTGAGTTTAAATCCCGGTAATAAGCATATTTCTGAGACTTATCTGCATTAGATTTTAACTTACCTCTAAAATTTGATGTTATGCCAGTGCTAGTACTTGGTACGTTAATGTTGTTATTATTGGAAGAGGAGGATGTGTTTGCAGCATTAGAACGACTAGAACTGCTTATTGCAAAATTTCCAGAGTCTTCCTCTGAAGAAGCATTTGAATCTAAAATAAAAAAAATATAAACAATAAAATTATGAATAAACCAGATTGAAAATTACAATTACCTGACTTTAGTTTAGGTTTCTTCTTGTGAACTTTGTGTTGCGATCTTGACGTTTCAGCCAAAGCAGCTGCCGCAGCAGCTGATGTAGTTGGTTTATCATTATTTAGACAGTTACTACTGACCCCTGTCTGTCGATCTTGTTGACGACGCACAGAACGTTGACGATGGTTATGCTTAGTATTGGAACTACGCTTATGGCCGTTGACCACAATAGCTAGCTTGTTTGAACGTCTATTATTGAGAGAGGCTCCTTTTATAGCGAGGCGTCTTAAAGTATTACGTTTCTTGGCAATTAAGTAAGCTATGCGATTGGTCGGTTTTTGTAATTGATTAAGTTTAATTTTAGCCAGTTTAGTCTTTTTGTTATGCTGTTTCCGTTGATTTTGCCTGCGCATCAAAGCTTGTCTTTTGGAGCGCCTTCTACCTTTACCCAGTGCTGCATTATTTTCATTATCGCTATCGCTGTCGGAAGAGCTACTGCTACTTGAACTACTACTGCTGCTACTACTGTCACTACTACTGCTATTACTACTACTGGTACTGCCGCAACTGAAGAACGAACTAATACTTCGATCTTCTTCTTGCGATACGTCAGTCGAGCTATTGGTTTCCCACTCTTCAATTTCTTGTTGAATCAGAGAATCAAAAAAGGCCATCATACGGGGATCTTCATTCGTGTTTTCACTGCTGTAGTCGTGCGACAGATGATGCCAATTTTCTGGAAGTGCCATGGTAAATAGATTATATGGAGAATACAGTTCACGAGGATTATCCGAACAAGAAGCCTCCTCAGTTAAGGAACCAGTCCAGTTGTGTTGTGAAAATGGACTCCATATCTAAAATAGTCAAACAAAAATTAGAGACATAAAAGTTAATTTAAATCTTATATTTGCCTTTATAATTTTTTCTACACCAGATGATGCCAACAGACACTTTTGACGATTATATCTCACTTGATTCACAATTGAACGATGGCCATACAAAACCATTTGCGTTGATTCCACCCATTGTTCAGTACCATCCACTAGAAATATGTGTAAAATAAAAAAACAGAAGAAATTTTAACAAAAATAAAATATTACAGTCGATGTCAGATAATCGCCAAACATAAAGATTAAAATCATCTGAGCCAGAAATAACCATTTCATCGTCTTCGCCGGCGAAAGTGCAACTTTTCATGGTGCATGAGTTATAGTAATTGCTGTGATAAAATGTGCAAATCGGATCAGGAGAATTGAAATCGTACAATATAGGCGGCAAACGTCTACGCAAACCCAATATCAATTTGCCTGTACGATTGAATCGTACGCTCATACAGCTACGAGGGTTTCCTAAGTTACCATACAGTATAACAGGCCTGAAAGTAATCAAAACTTTTAGTAAATAAAAGTATTGATAGAGAACTGAACTTACTGTTTGGGTTTACGTATATCATAGAGAGTTGCTCCACGTTTAGAATTGGCTGTAACTAAAAGATTTCCCATTGTTGGATGGAATTCGACGGCATGGAAGGAAGATGGCACTGAAGCAACAACAGTAGGTACAGACGATCTTTGATCAAACAACAATATTTCACCATTTTCGGAAGCTGTTGAAAAAACATTATCATTTTGGGGATCAATCGAAAGTCCATAAACTGGTCCATCGTGTTTGAAAACATTATCTAATTTTCCACTGAAATTTATCGAAAAGAAACACATTAAAATAATCATATAAAATTTTATTAAATAGTATTTTAAATTATTTCATTTAATTTACGTCTCAAAATCGTGAGAAATGGCTAAGGTGTCATTACCACCAGAAATTAGTTTACGATTTTTACTATCAAAGCCCAAGCAAAATATGTTACTGGCCTGTTCAGTGGCCAAAGCTCTAGGAGTTGATATTCCAGCTAATGACTTTTCAACATCCCAAACCAAAACACGTTTGTCATCTCCACCTTTAAAAACAAAAGAGAAAAATTAAAAATATATTTCCATATTTATATATATGTATATATCAGACCCGAAGCCAAGAATCTGCCTCCATGAGAAAATTCAATTGCATTGACACAACCAAAATGTCCTCTCAAATCTGTTTTATATAGATTTTTTGCAATGCGAAAGCGTTCTCGAAATATATTTGCCGCAAATGCTTTTGGATTCCCATTAGTGTTCGTTTCACGTTGCAATATCTGATGGCATATATTGGTTGTTTTTTCGAAACTACCAAACATTTTGTTTTTGTTTGTTTTTCAGATTCCAATTTGAAATGTATTCGTGTGTTACGAGTATATTTAAAAAACTCCCAATTCAAAATATGTACTTATTTTTTCCTAGACGATTTTAATCAGAGCACTGCCACTCGAACATATTTGTTTTAAAATATCGTTTTAAAATGTTCATTTTTATTATTTTTATGTAAATCATATATGATGTTGTGCAAATAAAAGAAAATCTAAAGAAAAACAAATTTGTATATTTTATTTATGATAAATAAAAAAATACTACATTTTATAACTAGAAATTAGAAGGTTATTTATTAAATTAAATATGCATGATTCATGGTCAAAGTAATACTAAGAAATAGATTACCAAGAAGGATTCGACCCCGTATAAAAATGTCTGTGCACTCCAGTATTATGTAGGTCTTATATGCACGTATCATTAAGGTACCAATTTTTGATATCATTGCTCCATAAAAACAATATATGCATTATATGTCCGATTATAAAAGGATGTTTACAATTTTCTGTAGAGTTTAGTCCATAATTGACTCAAGCTATATTGTTCAATCTAGTCTTTAGAACATATTTTTATAGAACTAAGTTAGGTGAAGAACGTAATAGGAAATAAGTCGTAGGTGTTTATTATTCCCTCCCCACTGTGGTGTTGTATTCAGATGTGAGGTTGTGAATTATACGGTTTGAATAAGAGGCATTTCTACAAAAATTTCATTGGGGCTTTCTAATACATAAACATAAGTACATAGGTATGCATGTAAACCCTGCCAACAATTTCTATCCAAATTGTAACCATAACGTTACAGCTTAATGTTTAAAACAATCTAATTTGATATAATCTGAGTGAATGAAAAGTGACCCCGTTCGGAAGAAACTGTTCCGCCTGTTTAATACTTACTTGATGTGCCCATTTCGTTTCAGTTTCAAGTCACTTTTTTATTACATAAAATTTCGTAAATGTAGTAAATTTCCAGTTTTGCCATAACAATAGAGAAGCTGGAAAGTGTTATGATTTTATACTCTTTTATGATATAAAAGCGACTTTATAATAATTTTTTTTATTTCTCCTTTATTATACTGTTTTGCACTCACTAATCCCTCACTGATGCTTATTTTATATTAAACTATGTTTTAAATATATTAAATTTTAAATTAACACAATTTATTACAAAATCTAAATTTCACAATATATCACACAACTGATCACAATGAAATAAATATATTTACTGAAATGTGCAAACACTTTTCCTTCTGAATTTTGAGAGCAAGAATGATTCTGCATTAAACTATCTTCTTAGTGTATTAAAAAGTGTTAGTTTTTGAAATTTTTATTCTATCTACTTATTATCATTTAATTTTGCTTTTGGTATATTAAAACGCACTAAAATTTAACAAAATTATGATCAAAATTAGAAAGTACTGTATTTTGTTTTTGTAAATTTTTTAACTTAGCACTGAGAAACATACAATTGAGCCTTTATAGTGACTATTCAGTTCATGTATCCAAAATTAAACTCAAATTTGCTGGCAGGGAATGCATACATATGTATGTATTAAAACTCATATACATAGGTATGGAGTTTACATTATTTCAAGGTGCTGTAAACGATATGGCAAAATCAATATAGGTACTTCCATTTTTAATAGTGTCTATTAAAACAGCGTATGGAAATAAAAAATAACTTTTCTTGTTTGTGAATATGTACGTAGGGTATCTTTAATTGTTAACTTATGTACATACAAAACATTTGTACATAAGCATTTGAATACGTATATACATACATATGTATTTATGTAAAATGTTCGTACATATTTACATATGTGTTTATGTACGCATCAAACGCAGTATATGCATGTTTGTATAATAAAAAATTCTTAAGATGAAAAAATCTATTTTAGAAGTGTATTATTATTTTTAACTAAAACATTGTACAAACAAAAATAAAATGTAGACAACAAAATGCTACAGACTCTTTTTGTAGGTGTATGTACATAAATATGTATATATTTTAGGGATTTATTACATACCTCTGAACACCAACGGGTTATAGGTAGAAATCAATTTAACTTTGAAAATATCTCAAATGTAAACCAATTTTAATGAAAACTATTATTCGTAATTGTAAAAGTTCTATTTTTTATAGTGAAGATAAAAATATAAAATAAAAATGTCGTCATAAGAAGCAGCAGGTAATTTTGTAAGTCTAAAAATTCACCACCACTCCGCTGCTAGACTATAAATTTTATCCTCTTTACAAGTTCGATTTCTTTGTTTGATATTTATTTTCACAAACTGTAGATATTTGTTAATTGATTGGCAATTATATTAAAACTTTTTCAACTTAAATTAGTTGTAATTTTTTCTACCAATAACACCGAAGATAGTAAGTTTCAAACGATATTATAAAAAATACAATTAGAAATGTACAAGTTGTATTGAGGGTTACCAAGTACTTTCGATTATCCGATACAATGGGATTTTTGTTTTCTCACTGGGATTAAATGGAATTTATAATAAAGTAAAGAAAATATATAATTCTTCTATCCTCTCTCTCTCCTAGGCATAAATCAAGAATTTTAATCTAGTTGATTATATTTTAAATAACCTGAAATACTTTTCTTAAAAATGTTTCGCTGCCTTTTTGTTTTTGATATGCAAAAATAAAATTTTTAGCGAAGGCAATGTTGGAAACAAACAAAAATGATGAGTTAGAATGGGGCTGATACATATGCTACAGCACAGAAAAAAGTTTGAGTACAAATATTATGAACAGCTTTCATTGACTAAAGTTAATAATATTTAAGAATAAGTTCCTAAATTGTATCAATTTTTTCATTTTTATTTTTTTAAACATAATCTAGAAGCCTTGACTTAAAAAATTAAAAATTTTCTTTCTATTTTTCTATTTGTTAAAAAATGTTTTAAATTTTCTTTGGAAAATTTTTTATTTCTTTATGATTTTTAGATTGAAAACAAGGAAATATGCGCGTAATTTGCTGATGTTTTTCATTTCATATTTTGTTTTCCAATATTTTTGTTTATTTTTCATAAAAATTCGCTAATATGTAGTATGATTATTTTCTAAAAAAATGGAACATTGGATATTTATTGCAATTTTTTATGAAAATCAAAGAAAAAAAGTAAAAAAAACAAAAAAATTCATTCATGTACAAATTCATAAATTTTATGAACTTTTAATATTCCGAATGAAAATGGTTTGGGAAAAAAATCATGTTCGATTCATACAATTTATTACAAAATTCATTCTAGTTATGCATTATTTTTTTCTGTGAGAAAAATCAAAATAAATATTGAAATTGATAATTTGTCGAATAATAATAATTTTAGGGGACATTTTAATAGTCTGGTAAGTCTCCTTTAAATATATATTTACATAAAAAATGATGTCAATATTACTGCATACAAAAATCGCTAATATTTTTTCAACCATAATTTTTTTTCCCATAACATAAGCGCCTAATAAATTTATTTATTTAGCGATTTTATAGGGAGATTCAGATTCTCTTAAACTTCTTTCTTTATAGAACTGATTCGGTAAAACTTCTAGGTTGAAACTCCTGTTTCCATTCTTATCTTCTCCTTATTTTTGTTTTTCTGTTCCTTGATCATCACTTTCTACAAAGGGAATCGAAATGGCCTATATGAACTCCGAGCGAAGTTGCATCTTTTTATTGGTACATAAGCCTTTTAAACCTAACCGTGATGGTTTATTGTAAGTAATAAACTATTAATATCATTATGAATACGGGAACTGGTTGCAAAGAACAACAGGTAAGGAAAAGTAGTCCGTAATGACAGATAATGTGGAACTCTATACCAATGATGAGTAAACATATGTACAGTGTCTCTCATAATTATTCGAATTTGGGTAAACTATAAAAAGAAACCAAATTTAATAATATATTTTGTGTGCAAAATAAATAAATTAATTTGTTATATTGTCTAGATAGTCCTTATGTTTGATATCACGCTTTTTAAAACTTGAAAAATTTGCATTGATTTAAATTAATTGTGCTTTTTTAAAAAAAGTCCATGAAATTGCCTCACAAAAGTATACGAATTTTTCCTGTATTTCATATTTGATCATATTATACGCAACACAAATTTTAGAATCGAATGGTTTTTATGCGTAATATTGTTTTAAGGGGTTACTATCCACGGAAAGGATATATTTTTGGCCCATTTGGTCCACAATTTTGCGGAATTTGTACCCTCTTTTCATGTAATATCATTAAAATGGCGATTTTTGGCCATAATTGTAAATTTTTCTCCTTTTTTCCAGAGATAAAACAAAAATTTGATATTGGGACTTAAAAGACCCTTTGGGGTATCTAAAAATAATATCTTTTGTTACAAGAATCTGTATTTAAACGTTCCAAGATAAATTATTCGGATCATTCTTCTTTCGCTAATTCAATATATTGGAACTTAAGTCCATTTTTATAATACTAGGATCAACTATTTTCGGGGAAAGTTTTCTGGTATATATTATTTTAGATATCAGCTTTTATACATTTTAAGTTTTCAATGTGTTGTGGAAGTGTACAACTCCAAAACATGCCTCGAAGAAACACCATTCAAAATAGTAAAATCATTATTTTTATATACCAATGGCCTCCATGCTGCATGGCACGATATCATTATGATCACATCAAAAATGTTGATATGTGTTTAAATATTATTTACTATGATCAAATTAAAACCAAAATTTAGGACTTACAGTGTTATTGTAACGGGCAACATAAGCGTGAAAGTTACGAGTAGTAAAAACTGAAATCTACTATATAGGATGACGTTTTGTTAAGGCATGTTTTGGGGTTGTATACCGCTATAATATATTGAAAATTTAAAATACATTAGTGCCAATATGTACATGAATATACACTAGACAACTTTGTCGAAAAATATCGTCCCTAGAGGTACGAAAAGGGACTTATGATCCAGATAATTCAATTAGAAACTGAAAAACGATACCAAAAATACATCTTGGAACGTTTAAGTACAGATCCTTATAACAAAAAATATTATTTTTAGATACCCTATGGGTTCTATTAAATTCCAATATTAAATTTTGGTTTTATTTCTGGAAAAAGGGTGAAAACATTACAAATATAGCCAAAAAATCGCCATTTTAATGATATTACATGAAAAGAGGGTACAAATTCCGCAAAATTGTGGACCAAATGGGCCAAAAATATATCCTTTCCGTGGATAGTAACCCCTTAAAACAATATTACGCATAAAAACCATTCGATTCTAAAATTTGTGTTGCGTATAATATGATCAAATATGAAATACAGGAAAAATTCGTATACTTTTGTGAGGCAATTTCATGGACTTTTTTTAAAAAAGCACAATTAATTTAAATCAATGCAAATTTTTCAAGTTTTAAAAAGCGTGATATCAAATCTAAGGACTATCTAGACAATATAAGAAATTAATTTATTTATTTTCCACACAAAATATATTATTAAATTTGGTTTTTTTCATAGTTTACCTAAATTCGAATACTTATGAGAGACACTGTATGTATTTAAAATGTGACTTATTTTTATACCCTTCACCTTCGTGAGTCATTTTGAGTTTGTCATTCCGTTTCTAATTTCCAAAATATAATTTTCCGACCCTATAAAGTATATATATTCTGAATCCTTATAGATATCGGAGTAAATTAAGTCATGTCCTTCTGTCTGTCTCTCTGTCCGTCCGTTTTTTATTATTACTCATATCGTTCAATTACTTTAACAATTTCCTAACTCAACAATTGTGGATTTTGAATTGATGTATGTATATACATATGTGGATATACATATGTATTTTTTTAAGGAAAACTTTTTTTGTAAATAAGCGCTATGTATTTTGTTTAATTAAAAAGTTTATGATACAAACAAACATGTTTTCAGTTTATATCAAATAGATACCTATTTACTTAGCAAATACTTAAGTGTCATATAAAAACTATAATATTTTGAATAAACTAAATTAAAAGATATGTAATAATATTTTGCGGCGATGAATTTTTAGAATAAATAATACAAAACTTAATAAATCATGAACAAAGACTATAATATCTACCGTAAGATATACAATATAAGAACATGCATACGTACAAATACGTATGTATGTACTATGTATTTTAATAAAAAATATTAATTTTAAATTATTGAAAATTTAAGCATCTAATCAAACTCAACGTATCGAATGTTTCCTGCACGATCTCAATTATCAGCTAAGGATACTTACGCGAAAACAAGAAGATGTTACAACAATTTCGATGATTTTAATAAAGGAATTCTGTAAATTTTTTTCAATGCCGATAACGGATCAGAAAAGTGATGATGGTTTTGAGCATCAAGTGACACATATTAAAAAGCTAATAAGAGATTTTGAATTGATAAGTACAGATAGTCATTTGTTTACCACATTTAATCAGCAAAAGTTGGAAAAGCCTAACTATCTACAAGCATTTGAACAACTTTATAAAAATGATGTTTTTGAGAAAAGTCTGTTCCTATTTTCGAAAGTCAAAGAATCCTTTGAGAAAGTTAACACGTTCTTTGGAAAACTAAAAAATATAAAGCCTCGAAATTCAGATATGAATAAATGCATTAGTAATGGCATTAGAGATAAAATAAATAATTTAAATCGAATTCAAACTGAATAATATCCTACAACATCTTGGGATTTTAACAGCTTGAATAATATTAATGTTGCTGTTCAAACTGAAAGTTTTCTTTCTGAGAGTGATATTGAAAAGGATACCTCCTCCTGCTATGCATCCTGTTATGGCAGCGAAATGAGCCTCTATAAGTTAAAGAGAGTAAATGCTGACATGAGTACAATTTATGATGGCGATAACGATGGTAGTGAACTCAACTTAAATAACTGAAATAGGCACAATATCGAAGGCAAACTTAGCTTAAACTATTTCTCATAAAACAAAAAGAAAAAAATATTTCAACAGTGTCATTTAAAAATGTAATGGGTATTTTATTAAAAACAATCTTTTTGGACCATTTGTTCATTTGCTATTGTTTTTTTTCTTTTGTATAAAGGAAAATAAAATTAATTTAACTATCGGCAAATATCACATACATATAAAGTTAAGTTCGAAATACTTTCTTATACATAAGTGGGATTTCAGGTATCTTGTTCAAAAACAAATCCAAATTTGCGTTTACTTTGTACTTGTCGTTCATTTACTACAAGACTGTCATAATCCAAAAAATCTGTCAAGGAAAATGGCTTCGAATGTTTAATGACATTTTAATATACATATTTTAAGTAATTTTAAACATATCAAGAGATTTGAAAATGTAAACTTGATTAAGATAGTAGAGTTTAATGTTAATCTAAATTGAAATTTAATTTGTAATTATCTGATATTCGTGAGCTTTAGTTCAAAATCGATCTCACACCGAAATAAACATACAATTTAAAATTTGATAAAGTTAAGTACATATATGAACGATTGACGCATGTTTTGTAGCCCACAGTTCAAAAACCCCAAATTTTGGATTATGCCAGTCTTGTAGAAAATTACCGATATAAAGCTTTTTTCAGCTGTGGTGACGTGATGAAAACAATGAGTTTAATTTTTAAAACTAAAAGATATATATCAAAATGCTTCAACATTCTTCATAAGACGCCGCCGTAAAACTATTAGTATAATTTATTAAAATAAAAATAAGTATTGAGCCAATTGTTGAACCTAATTGTGTTAAACCGCCAGTCCACACCAACGATTTACCACCCTGAGATCGCATTACTGTGGTTATGCTCAGTTTAATGTAACTAACTAAACCTATTAGTAGAGTCCATGTAATAATCTGAAAATGGAAAAAGTTTAAAAATTATTCAAAAGCCATATTTATGTATATTTTAAAATATATATTCTTACCACTAACACTGCTCCAGCCGTTGTACCATATAGCGGTGGGAATGGACTCATGGCGGCTGTAACAAATACATATACTGTCAGTAGACCTGCTAATCCAGTTAGTGTCAATATACTGCGTAGAGAAGTATGAGGTAAGAAAATGGCCAAGAAACACGCCAATGGATTAGCAATAACACTTAATGTAGCTGATAAATGGTAAGCTTGCCCGCCATAGGGAAGGCAGGAGTATGATTGTATACTATTGAAAATGCCATTGGCGAAGAAGCTTATTGTGCCAATTAGTAATAACAAGAATATGTATGTACTAGATGAAATTTCTGGTGTCAAATCAACGTTGACCTTATCCGTTTCAGCAACCGTATTGTTATTAGTTTGACCATTAGCTGCTTCTACACCATTCGTATTTGGTACATTTTTAGTTTCCCTTTCGTATACATAATTATTGCCGTGACCAACTTGAACAGCTGCATATTGCTTTTTCGCTAACTTCAGACGATCTAATAGCAGAAAGCCGACAAAACTTAACACCATCATGACAAATACGAAAATGAAAAATTCCCTTGTACCAAAAACAGGCGGTGGCACATATTTCTCATATATTTCTTGGCCAGTTTCAGTAACATTAGCCAGTCGGCACTCAGCGGTACCACCAATGCCTTGAATTAGGGCCACTACGCTGGGTAATAAACCGCTTAGGCCTTCACCAATAAAATAAGTAACCAAGTAGATTTCTTTAAATCTACCCATGTAGGGCATAAATAGAACTGAGCTCGTACAGGCCGTTAGGGCAGTAAAGAATGTTAACGCAAACAAGGCCACACTGTGTTCTGACCCAAATAGAATTGCTGTTCGACTGTAAAAGAAGGCCGTCAGAATAGCTGATAGAGTGCCCGTTATCAATAAGCCATATATCATATAAGCGTCTTTGTGTTTGGAAAATTTTTGTAATAACGTATATGCCAAAGGGCCCAAATTGCCAATTTGTACCATAACACTCAGATAAGAAGGCAAACTCCAGCCTTCAGGTGCGACCTCTACCAGTAGAGGTAATTGTATGAAGGTACCATTAATCCCTATCCAAGTGCCAATTCCAAAGAATATCGCCAGCAAGTCTACAATGAGACTTCGTTGTTTAAAAATACCACCAAATTTTATTTTCATTTTGCTATGATTTCCTCCACCCAATAGTGTACTAGCCTCTGAGGGTTCATATGGTTCTGAAGACCTGAAAAAATTCAATACATTAACAATAATTACAGAATTAAGATTAGAATAAATAAAAAAATAAGTTTTTCATACTTAAAACTTAAACCTAAAAGTTTATATAGAAATTTCCGCATTGAATTAAAATTTAACTACATAATTTAGTAACAATATTTAGATGAAGACAATCTGGTATTCGAACGAGAACTGACTGATTTTCTAACTATTTTATTACAATAAGGCTTCATTGTATATACACATAGTAGATAAGATTATTCATTCTACTTTGTGTTACAAATGATACTTGTGCAAATAAGAAATATGATAATTTTTTCTTACTTTTTTGCTTTAATATTGTGGTAGTTTTAAAAACGCGAAGAGCATCAAATAATGATTTACTAGAATTCATATGTATGTACATGCGTACGTAGGTCAATTTAAAGTATCTATAAATATGATTTGATGATTTGAAACTATTTAAAAAATAACTCCTAAAACGCAGTTTCGAGTAAAATGTGAAAGTTTAATATCATTTTACAATTCTTTAAATGACGTTTAGAAAAAATATCGTTGTATGTCATAATCTGTTTTATTATAGTTTTGTTTTCGAAATAAATAAAATAAAAATAATAAAAAGTACAATATACAATGCTACGACGCCGATTGTGAATTGGGCAATTATATCAAAGATTCGTATCTTACTTAACCCTTTCCACCGCCATGTCCTCAGCTAACTTTCATATTTTTATTCAATAGTTCGAAAATTTCTTTGATATTTTTTCATTTTTGGTGGATAACTGGTGGATAATTTAATAATTTGCATAATGTACATACATATTTATAAAATACCTATTCTGGGTAAATGTGTTAATTGGCTACAAGATAATTTTTTGATAATAAAATAAGCGTAAAAACATAAATTTTATTTTCATAACAATTCTATAAAAATATAATACTATGAATCTTAAAGATTTTAACATGGCGAATATTTTATAGCATTTAGATTAAAAAAACATCGGATTTTGAGTTATGAACCTTAGTTGTAAATGAGCGATAAGGAGAACGTGCAGATAGGCAAGTCAACTTTAATATTTATACTTTTAAATATCAATTATTTTCTCATAAATAACCAATATTTATTCTAATAAAGTGGCAATTATTAGAAAAATTACGAATTCACGTTAAAATAAATATGATACACGTAAATTTTAATTTTAGGTCATAGAATCCGCTGTGAAATGTTGCAGGCGTTGCGTTTACCAAATCTCATCGAATTATCTATCAAATTGTGACCTGCACTTTGATAACAATGTTTACAGACTTTAAGATTTTAAGCCTATTGTTGTACATTAGACCGACTCACAAAAATGGTGATAGAGTTACCCCCCTCAAAATATTATCTGTTATGTTATCCAAAATATTTTTGGTTTAGTATTGTCCGTTCGTGAGCTGGACAGTTTTCAAAAAAATATCCTATGGGGGACACGATTTTTCATGTTCAATTCAATATTTTACCCAGCTTCAAAAAATCTTTGTTTTATGATGGTTCCCAAAATATTTTGAGTCTATCGATAGCCGTTCGTGAGCTGGACCGGTTACAAAAAAGACCCTTTTTAGTTATATTTTAAATTTTACAGTTTTTTTCTTAAACAAAATATGCATTATATGGTATCATTTGAAAGGGATTAAATCCGCGTCTAAAGGTGTACACAATTTGCAAAATTATGCATAAATTTTATTTATATCCATGAAAAACCTAAGAATTTTAAATCCTTTTGGAATATGACAATTATTAGGAGACTGTTATTTATGATTAACACATCATTGGACGCGCCTTTAAAACACCTTCCAAATGATACCCAATATTGAATATATTGTTTCAAAACAAAACAAAATTTTTAAAAAATAATTCAAAAATACCTTCTTTAATTTTGGTCCAGCTCACGAACGATCATAAAACAAAGCAAGGTAAATTTTGGGAGGGGTAACAAAAACACGTTTTTGCTTTCAATACAGAGTGAGTCGGTCTATTGTACATACGTTAAGGTTGGTCTAGGACCAAAATTTTTGTGCGTTACAAACATCAGCACAAATGTATAATACTATAGTGGTGTAGGGTATAAATATAAATTGCTGTTTGTAATTGTACTGTCTCTTGCATTGTGGATGTGGCACGTGAATTTTTTTAGTTATTAACCTCTAACAGATAAAAAGCTTAAACAGCAAATATTCAAATGGTTGCATTTTTAGCAAAAATTGCAACATTTATAGAAATTTTTATACCTATAATAATATAAAAACCATTCTAAATATCAATAGTTGTTGAATTTATGTTCAAAGTTCCAAACAAAAACATCCGAATTTTGTAAAATGAATAAGTCATGATTATTGCCTTCTTTTTTTATTGATTGACAAACACTACAGCAATCAATTAAACAATTATTACGTAAAAGAAAAATCTTGTTTTAAATGCATGTTATTCACTTTTTGAAATTTTAAGTATTACAAGGTTTACATTAAAAAAACAAATAGTATATTTTAAAATATTCTTAAAATACATACATCGGAAAAATAAGAAAAGTAAATTTAATTACCTGTTTGGATTGTTATTTGCGTTGAAAGTCGGATGGGATGTTGATACAGAATAACTGATCGGAGGCGATGAGGGTATAGAGTAGACTGTTGAGTGACTTTCATGACAATTAATGTTTTGACTGTGTTGTGTATTATTGTGACATTCTTTTTGTTGTTGGTGACTATGATCGGAGTCGTTATTATTTGTATTACCGTTGTTGTTGTAGTAGTTATTTGGACTGCCAGTAGGAGGATTCATGAGTGTAAAATGCTTTTGTTTGTGTTAGTTTAAATTCAGTATCTTAAAAATCAAATAAGATATTAGCAAATCGTATATTTATTACCGGTTTGGAGCGATAAGATTATTATAAATTTATATACAATGTCTATAATAAAATGCTCCGTTGGTATTGTCGCGAGGTTCCAAAACTATTAAGCAAAGTAAATCGACATCAGTCTTTTCTGGATAGCTCCCTGTAGTTGTAGCAGAAATAATTTATTTAAATGTTAATTAAAAATTTAGAATTATAATGTCCGCTATTGAACTTGTAGAACAATTGAAATGTTAGAATCCACCGAATGATTGATTTCATAACACAGTCATTTGATTTCTGTAGTCTTTTTTATTTTCTTATATTTTCAATTAACCATGTGTTTGTTGTATGTTTTAAAAGTGAAAAAATAAATTTGTAGTTTCAAATTTCGCTGCAATTGCAAGTATTTTTTATGTTTAGTCATTAATTTCTTTTTTTTTATAAAATTCCAGTATTTTAAACAAAATTAACTCTTATTGGAAAATATTTTTTCGTTTTAAGCGAAATCAACATTTTTTGTTTTTGATTTATGACTCCAGTATGTTATTGAAATAATTTTTATAACTTTCTAAAGTTTGTTGGCAAAATGTTTTTTGTTTTGGGAACAACGAAAATTGCTGATGGCAATATTTTTTTATTATTTTTGTTTATTTGCATATTTTTTTTAATTCTACTAAATTTATCTTCCACGAGTAGTAATAATCAAAACAAAAACGAAAACATGTGAGTTACCAGACTATAAAATAAACGAAGTAACGGGAATAAAAATTGATGGAAAATCTTGAACATGCAATCAGAGCTTTGAAAACTTGATTCAATTAAATCAGAAAAAAATAAGATCATTGATAATGTGCGATTGGACCAAACTTAGACTCCTGAACCAATTTATTTATTTATTAATTATTAATTTATTTATTCATTCACAATACAAAGCCTATGTATCTAAAAACTACAATCATACAAACATAATTGGCTCCCCAGCCATATATAATAAAAAGAAAATTAATAAAGTTAAATAAAATATCAGTGAATAAGTCCAATAAGTAATACTTATAGAATAATAATAATGTAGGTAGGTAGGTAGGTTTGAGACGAAAAATATTGTTAGAGTGAGATTCTTAACTCGTGAGGCAAGCCATTCCAATAACGAGCAATTCGGACTATAAATGATCTCTCAAAGCTTAATTTGAAAATTCTCGGAATAAAAATCAGAGGATATCTAGAAGACCTCAGAAATGTAAACTTATTACGTAAGACAGACGGAAACCCATACATACATACATACAAATTTCTTTATTTAATGGACAAAAAACCATTCAAATTAATGTGTCAAATTATTAATACAAATTTAATTTCAAATAACTAAGAACAACGCACACGTTTTTCCATCTTAAACATCTAGACGGTTTGAAAAATTTGCTGATGGATTTTTGTTTTCTAACAACTGTAATTTCCTGCTATTTCTTTAACTTAATTTTATTTGTTAGATCCAAATTCAATCTAAATGATAAAATTAAACTCTTTTTAGCAAAAAACTGAGCTTGAGAATCGATGAGTGAGTCTCATGCTGATAATTTCAAAACCCTGGAATAATTGTGCCATGTTGGGATATCTTCGTCCTCCTCGAAATAATTTATTTTGCTGTAAAATTGTATTAATTCAATGTATGCGGTTCATACATTGAATTAATCGGAACTTCGAAAGAAGTTTGGAAAAAGTCGACAAATAGAAAATTTGAATGGGAATAATGGGAACTCCTTAACGACTGTAAACGGCTCCAAATTTTTTTCATTTTTTTTCCATTGATAGTAATTTTAATACGGAATCTAACGATACTATTTTTTTGGTTTGCTCTTTTATAGTTATGCAGTTATAGACGTTCAACAACTGTATATATAAAGTTAAAAATCTCGTGAATGGCTTGCTCGTATTATATAGAAAAGTATTATATAGAAAACATAATAAGTGATTTTTTTGATTAAAAAAAAATAGTTTTCTAAATGTTATATAAACGCATTAGAGTAAAAAACAATTTTAAAGTTCTTAATTTTTATATCTTGATATTATTTCTTTTCAAGTGAAAAGAAAGGACTGGGACTTTCATAAATACATATAATTCTGCAGTGTAGACTTACATAAAACCTGATGCACTAATGGTTTAAAAAGCGTCGCAGATGGAAAAAGGATGCGATTTTGTGAAATAAGTTAACAGTTTTATGGACTGTTTGTGATTTTTTCAAATAATTATTCAGTTATGTTAATTTTTTTATTTTATCCCACAGAGAAAAATTCCAAACATTTTGTGAAATAATTAAAAAGTTTTATGAACTTTTTGTTGTATTCTCTGGAAAAGCGTCGCAAACGAAAAATAGCAGGACGTCAGTTATGTTAATTTTTTTTATTTTATCCCACAGAGAAAAATTCCAAACATTTTGTGAAATAATTAAAAAGTTTTATGAACTTATTGTTGTATTAATTTAAAAAAAATATTTAAACTAAGTTTTTAATTCAATAATTCTAAGGCATTTAAATGGGCTAGGAATTTGCAATGTACATCAAATGAAAGCTCATTCTATCTCCTATTCAATATTTCGTTTTATATGCTGTGTTCATATCGTAAATTAAAGAGAAATTCTTAAATTTGCATACATCGTTTGAAAGCTTTTCAAAAAATATTTAAAAAGTAAAATTTGGATAGATAGTGCGGAAGATATTCTACATTATATTATAAATCATTAAATGTCCGTAACTCCTAAACTAAATGAGAGCAAGAATAAATGTTTACACCAAACAATTTTGAATTAAGTTTGCTACAGCTGGTTAAAATAATGGAATTATACAAACTATATTTATCAAACTGAGAAAGTATTTTAAATTTTTACAAAAGAATTGATTCTTTTAAGCTGTATTTAATTATTATAGACTAATCTGGCAGCACACTTAATAGTTTATTGTTAGATCTGGCAACACTAAAAACATTTACCGCTTAAAATTTTTGTTTTCATTTTCTATGTTTATTTTTCAAAAGTGATAGAGAGATATTAGTGCAATATTTATTTCGAAAGAGTAAAATAAAACAATTATTTAATGAACCCAATTAACCAAAATAGTACAGTTTAACGTGAACAGATTTCCTTATACCATTTCTTGCTATCGCGACATCTTGGATTGACGCACATTGGACAGCGCATTAAAAATTTTGGATTAACGGTTTGATCTTGTGTCAAGTGTTCCGCCACAATGCTACTAAGAGCATTAATAAACAAAGGGTGGTCATTTGGTGCAGCAGCTCTACGCATTTCCTCAACACCCACCTGTAAGACAAAGGTATGTTATTTTTTAACTTATGTATGAATGAAGAATTCAAATCACCTCTTTTGCTAATTCATCACAATATTCAATATCCAGTTCATGCAAAGTTTCAATATGTTCGTTAACAAACGCAATTGGTACCAAAATAAAATTCTTTAAGCCTTGTTTTACATAGCCCTAAAAACGATTAATGTAATAAGAACACTCAGATTTAGTATTAAGAGATAACAAACTTTAATAGCATCATCAGTTGCTGGTGCCAACCAGGGCAGTGGTCCCACTTTTGATTGCCACGCCAAACTGTAGGGATTGGTGTTACCCAATTCCTTCATGACCATATGTACACTTGCTCCTATTTCTGAGGGATAAGGATCTCCACGATTTACTGCTTTCAAAGGTAGAGAATGAGCAGTAAAAAGAATAACTACATCATTGCGTTTAGTCTCACAAAATTTATCCAATTCTTCCCGAATACGATCGGCAAATGTTTTAATCAGCAAGGGATGCGAACCCCAGCGATCAATGACACTCCATTTGATATTTGATGGCAGAGACCTACGAAATAAGCTATGACTCAACACTATTTAAAACACATGTATATATTACAAATTACCTTTTACGATAGTGTTGGTAAATGGAATTAAAACTTGAACCAGAAGTTGCACAACTATATTGAGGATACTGAGAAAATAATACTATTCTCTCGGGTTTATCTCTGAAATAATAGTAATGGCTTATGAATTTAAAACATCACAGTTAATGCATTTAAAGTTTTACTTTTCAATTTTCTCTAAAGTATCTTCTGTTAAAGGATTCACATAACGAAAACCGACGTAATGTTTATGTGGTGCTGTTTCTGGTGATAAGCGATCCAATTCCTTACACATTAGTTCACCTTGTAGGTCTGTCCATTTTAAAATTGGAGAACCACCTCCGATTTCTTGATACTTCTTTTGAACTTCAGGAGTACGTCTCTGAGCAATCCAAGGTCCCAATTTACTTTGTACCGGTAATTGTATCATATCCCTATCAGTCATTATGCGTAACAAATAATCATGTACTTGATCTGTTGTCTGAGGTCCACCCATGTTTAGCATGAGTACAGCTGTTTTTGGATTAACCTCTCTTTTAATAGTTGTGCTAAAGTTGACACCATTTTTAAGTGCTGTAGTAATACCTACAATCCAGAAAAGATATGCTTGGTTAAACTTTAAACATATTAGTTTCGTAATATTCTTTACCGGAAAACTGCTTTAATTTTAACATCTTAAAATGCACCGTTCACTCAAGGAATACTGTTAGCAGCTAGATAAGATTTCTCTTGTATATTTTATATTGTATGCAGTGCTAAATAAAATGCCAATTAGCCTAGTTTCCATGCAAATGCAAAAACTACTTGTGTAATTGTAGGAATATGTGAAAACTTCAAGTAATGGCGAATACGCATAGCAAAACAAAACCATTAATTAGAAAGGTTACCATATCAATGAAGATATTTGTTCCTCCACCGCAGCGCTTGGTGATTTTTAAAGCAGGTCGCACTAGGGATGCCAACCCTTGGAATTTTTGTGATTGGGGATATTTTATACATATCTTCGGTATATTATTTTGAAACCTATGCTAAAAATTCGTACAGGTTTATAGAAAATTTTCACCACTGATTTTATTATATATTTGGAATAAGACTACTTATTTTATAAACAAATGTTGTAAATTGTCTAAAGAATAGTATCGGAAAAGTTTTTATATCCACTTTAATTTCGACAGAAATATCCCTACAGTACGAAAAGTGCCAATTGGCATCATTCACTAGTTATATTACCGCATTTCGAACTAACTAGTAAATAAAGAGGTCGATATTTTGTCGAAACGTTCACTACATTTCCCCATAGTAATCAATAGTTCACATTTTATTAATTTTCCCATGAGGTTAATGAAAATAAATTCCAGAAAAATTAAATGTTTTAAAAATGTCACTTTGGTAGCCACATGTAGTGCTTAAAGTAACCGCTTGACACCTTTCTGACGAAATGTGATGCTGAAATTAGAGCTTTGTATGAAAAAGAGATCAGTAGATCAGTGGTGAGAGCTTCTAACTACATAACGATAGTTTCAGTTTCAGAAATAATTTTTCCTTTTTGTTTGAGTTTTTGAACTAGTGAAACTAATGGAAAAATATAATGCATAAGGTGGCATTCGGCCACTTTCAATGACATCCTCATGTTAAATTCACCTGTAAGTAACATTGCTAGTGGGTTTAAAATTCACTAGTAAAAGTTTTTAATGGCTGTTGATATCGCCGTTGTCGAACTAGTTCATCGTACTGCAGGGCAAGTCTACATATATTCGCCAAAATTCAATCTTAAATCGTCTGCTCATAATTCGATAATAATCCATTCAGAACTAAATCTGTTTAATAACATGAAATAAGGCAACATTTATGTACTATATATGTATATAATTTTTATCCCAATTTACTACGTCCTGCATATGTCTGCACATACTTGTCAATACCCACATAAATGTTTTTCATTTATGAAGTGATATATCTCGAGATCTATATATACACAGAAAAAAATAATTCATATTTGGAATGAATTTTGAAATAAATTGAATGAATCGAACATGACTTTTTTTCCCAAACCATTTTCATTCAGAATATTAAAAGTTCATAAAATGTATGAATTTGTACATGAAAGATTTTTTTGTTTTTTTTGTTCATTTTCTTTGATTTTCATCAAAAATGCAATAAATAAATAACCGTTACCTATTAATATCTTCCATTTTTTAGAAAATAATCACATATTAGCGAATTTTTATGATAAATAAATAAAAATGCTGGAAAACAAAATATGAAATAAAAAAACCAGCATATAGCTAAACATCCATTCTTCAGAAAATGTTGCATGTTACGCGCATACATATTTCATTGTTTTCAATCTAAAAATCATAAAGAAATAAAAAATTTTCTAAAGAAAATTTCAAACATTTTTTAACAAACAGAAAAATATAAAGAAAATTTTTAATATTTTAAGTCAAGGCTTCTAGATTATGTTTAAAAATATAAAAATGAAAAAATTCATACATTTTAGGAACTTATTCTTAAATATTATTAACTTTAGTCAATGAAAGCAGTTCATAATATTTATGCTGAAACTTTTTTCTGTGTAGTATCGACTTGAAATTTGGGGTATTCTTTCAGAGTAATGTTTTCTATAAAATTTCCAAAGATATATATTTCTTAAACCGAACCTCTTATTTAATGCCAATCGACTTCATATACAATAATTAATAATAAGCAAAAATTTAGTTCAATTATCTTCCTCCATCTAAGAGTAAATACTTCTTGAAGTCAAATTTTTACAAAGTCAAATTCTACATAATGTACATATATTACACATTATGTGGGGTTTTTCTTAAGGTTTTTTGCATATACATAATAATTTTGTTAATAGGAAAACAATGAGAAAACTTACAAAAATTGCTAAAATTTATTGGTATCCCAGCAAAAAAAGTGTGGAAAAAGATGTAGAATTTTCATCACAACTAGTAACCCGAAATTCAGGTGAAAAACCTATGAATTTTACATTAGTGTGTCATTGGAGAGATGTTGTTAATTTTTGACAACTTTGAACTACATCTAATCTTATCTTTAGAAGCTGCAAAAATCCGATATTTGTATGTCAAAAATAAAACACATTCTTTCAATGAAACGCTTATGTAAATTTCATTGGTTTTTCATCAAAATTTGAAGTACTTCGAATATGTTGTTTGTAGTGACTTCTTTTCTACATCTCTTTCCCCATTTTTAACCGTGCTTTCATTTGTAAGGATATGTTTGGTTTATAAAAACGAAAAGTATGCAATCGCATTTTTAGATGTGATTAAGATGTCGTTTGTAAAGTATGACATCAATTATTTTTTGCTGGGATGTGGTCAAAAAATATTTAATTAATTTGTACAGAAATAATAATGTAAAAAATGTAATGTAAAAAATAATAAAAAAATTTAACAAATCACTGGTGTTTTTATTTTGTAAAAAAAATATTTTTGAAAAAAAATTAGTCTTTGATTTTCAGATTTTTTTAGAATTTAGATTTTCCGAATTTTGATCGATTACAATTAGTGAACATTTAGATTTTTGTTACAATTTGATATGGAAAATTAATTGCATTTTTTTCAGAAACTGATATTACATACAGTGTCTCTCATAAGTATTCGAATTTAGGTAAACTATGAAAAGAAACCAAATTTAATAATATATTTTGTGTGGAAAATAAATAAATTAATTTGTTATATTGTCTAGATAGTCCTTATGTTTGATATCACGCTTTTTAAAACTTGAAAAATTTGCCTTGACTTAAATTAATTGTGCTTTTTTAAAAAAAGTCCATGAAATTGCCTCACAAAAGTATGCGAATTTTTCTTGTATTTCATATTTGATCATATTATACGATACACAAATTTTAGAATCGCATGGTTTTATGCTTAATATTGTTTTAAGGGGTTACTATCAACCGCATGGATATATTTTTGACCCATTTGGTCCACAATTTTGGGGGATTTGTACCCTCTTTTCATGTAATATCATTAAAATGGCGATTTTTGGCTATATTTGTAATGTTTTCACCCTTTTTCCAGAGATAAAACCAAAATTTAATATTGGAATGTAATAGAACCCATAGAATATCTAAAAATAATATTTTTTGTTAAAGGGTCCGTACTTAATCGTTCCAAGATGTATTTTTGGTATCGTTTTTCAGTTTCTAATTGAATTATCTGGATCATAAGTCCCTTTTCGTACCTCTAGTGACCATATTTTCCGACAAAGTTGTCTAGTGTATATTCATGTACATATTGGCACTAATGTATTTTAAATTTTCAATATATTATAGCGGTATACAACCCCAAATCATGCCTTAACAAAACGTCATCCTATATAGTAGATTTCAGTTTTTAATACTCGTAACTTTCACGCTTATGTTGCCCGTTACAATAACACTGTAAGTTCTAAATTTTGGTTTTAATTTGATCATAGTAAATAATATTTAAACACATATCAACATTTTTGATGTGATCATAATGATATCGTGCCATGCAGCATGGAGGCCATTGGTATATAAAAATAATGATTTTACTATTTTGAATGGTGCTTCTTCGAGGCATGTTTTGGAGTTGTACACTTCCACAACACATTGAAAACTTAAAATGTATAAAAGCTGATATCTAAAAGAATATATACCAGAAAACTTTCCCCGAAAATAGTTGATCCTAGTATTATAAAAATGGACTTAAGTTCCAATATATTGAATTAGCGACAGAAGAATGATCCGAATAATTTATCTTGGAACGTTTAAATACAGATTCTTGTAACAAAAATATTATTTTTAGATACCCCAAGGGGTCTTTTAAGTCCCAATATCAAATTTTTGTTTTATCTCTGGAAAAAAGGAGAAAAATTTACAATTATGGCCAAAAATCGCCATTTTAATGATATTACATGAAAAGAGGGTACAAATTCCCCAAAATTGTGGACCAAATGGTCCAAAAATATACCCTTTCCGTGGATAGTAACCCCTTAAAACAATATTACGCATAAAAACCATTCGATTCTAAAATTTGTGTTGCGTTTAATATGATCAAATATGAAATACAGGAAAAATTCGTATACTTTTGTGAGGCAATTTCATGGACTTTTTTTAAAAAAGCACAATTAATTTAAGTCAATGCAAATTTTTCAAGTTTTAAAAAGCGTGATATCAAACATAAGGACTATCTAGACAATATAACAAATTAATTTATTTATTTTGCACACAAAATATATTATTAAATTTGGTTTCTTTTTATAGTTTACCCAAATTCGAATAATTATGAGAGACACTGTATATACATTTTTGAGAATATAAATTCTTTTAACGATATTTGTTCCATATTTTATATTTCAATCGTTAAATATTAAAAGAAACCCATATCAATTAAAACATAACATATGTATATTAAGGTGGCCCCGTTTGTATGGAGGAAAAATAAGGTGTCGATGTTCCCGACTAAAATTAAAGTTTAATTGATTATAAGATAGCGTTTCTCGAAATTTTTGTCCTGGGGTCAATATTTGGCAAGCTGGATCAAAGGAATTAATTTCTTCCAAAGGAAAGATTTAAAATTTACATAGATGAATTTAATATAGTTCGTTGAAATTAATTCACAATAATCGTCAATAAAATCTACCGAAACGGTTTTTTCCGTTTTTCAAAATTCAATCTAGATCAAATTTTATTTAAATTTATCGAATCCTATATACGCTACCGAAACATTGCGAAATAATGTAAGCAATAACATAGAAACCGTTATTTACAAAGCAAGCATAACAAATAAGTAGATGTTTGGGATAAATTGTATTAATTTAGTTAAAATGAAAAATTTGATTGATAATAGAATGAAACCATAAAGTGTTATTTACCATTGAAAAGCTAATGAAATTACGCGTATGC